AAAAAAAAAAAAAAAAAAAAATCTCTTGCAAAGTATGATGGTGGTGGCACAGAGATGTAATCTTCACACTCCAAAGGCTAAAGGAAGGGGATTATCATGAGTTCAAAGCCAGCCAGGGCTCAAAAGGAGAGGATAATGGGAGGGAGGGAAGGAGTAAAGAAAGAAAGAAAAAGGAAAGGAAAAAAGAGTGTCTCCAACTCTCTTTGAAGAAATTCATGTAGTTGATTCTAACCCTAAATTTGGGAGTGGGTATAAGTCTTGGCCAATCAGTACTACATCCCTTGGCTCAGCAACTGCTTGACGGACAGACATAACCCAAAGTGGGACTACAGATGGAGAGGCTGAGAAAGAGATAGCACCCCTTGCAAAACTGGCAATGAGAGTGACAGCCTGGTTGCCTGTGCCCATCCCATCTTCTCCCAGCTTCACTTAGATGAGCCACTGAGGTGCTGGGTTTGGGACCTTCAGAACAACCCACACAACATCCCATTGGTGTGTTCTAGTTCTCTAGGAAGATTCACTGAACACTTAACTTCCCAGTTTTCCAGGTGCACCTCCAAAGGCATGTTCCAGGAGAACCATGATACCCTTCGTAAATGTGTGGTAGGAATACTGTGACCCATGTATACATAAGACAGCAGGGTTGTCTGTTTATAAGGAATTGCTTGAGTTTTTTTTTTTTTTCATTTGTATCAGGTCTCTTGGAAAGGAGCTTGTTATGATTTCTATGTAGATGTCCCCTAAAGCTTTATGTGATCAGAGGTGGAGCTTTTGGAAGATGATTAGATTATGGGGGGGAGGTTATACCTGACTTGCTGGTTGGAAGGGGCAGATCACCGGGACCATGACTTGGAAGGTTATATCTCCCTTCCTAGCTCCTTCCTTAAGTCTCTGCTTCCTGGATGCCATGTAAGAGCAGGTCTTCCTCTGGCGTGCCCCTGTGCCATGCCACCCTGCCTTGGAGCTAGTGGGCTGTGGACTGAAACCTCTACAACTATGAGCCCAAATAAACCTCTCCTCCTTTAATTTGTAGATGTTAGGTATTCGGTCTCAGCAATGCGAAAAGTAAGACACATTTTGGTACCAAAGAAGTAGAGTTGTTGCTATGACTGTATCTGACCACGTGACTCAGAAACCGTTGGAACAGATTGGAGGGAGGAGTTTGGAAAGGTTTGGAGATGCCAGCTAGAGAAGCATCTTTTAGAATGCTGTAAGCTTAGCTTAATGGGAAATTCTGGTTAGAGCTCAGAAGACCAGATGCTAGATGATAGAAGTGCTGATGGAAAAAAAATAGGCTAAGGAGATTTCAGTTAGGAACAAAGATTCCATTGGCAGTTGCACTCTAGACCATGTGTGTTACGCTCTGGCAGAAATTTTGTCTACATTTTGCTCATGTTCTGAGACTGGGGGAAACTGAGGTTTAGGGTAATAGAGGGATTCATTTGGTAGAGGAAATTCCAAGGAAGTTCAGCATTCAGGCTAGCATGGATGTTTTCAGAGGATTTTTAGCCAGTCTACATTGAGAGTTAAGAGCAAATGGCACAGCTGAATGATTTGTTTTGAGTTTGGCCAGAAAAGAAGTTTCAGTAAAGTTGGGACCAGAAAAGTTGGAGCAGAGGAGAATTTGGTTTGTAAAAAGATTAGCATTAAAAGAAAGCCCTGTACTTTAGATCAGGACAATACAAAGAATGCCTTGAATGCATGGCAGGAATCTGGAAAGATCCTATTCTTTGCAAACTCAAGGGTGGAAAACTTAAAGACTGCTTTGAGAAGAGAGCCCCAGAGCACCCTGCTCAACAAAGGCCACCTAAAAAATTGGCTTCCTGGCAATATTTTCATGGTGCTCAGCCATTCAGGGATTCAGAGGCTTCTGCAGCCCTGATTCAAGGGAGCCTGGCTGCTGCTTGAGCTGGTGGCAGATGTTGGCATCATCCACATGGTGCTGGTTTTACAGGTATACAGAATGGAAGGGGAACAAGAGAGGGAGAGGGGGAAAGGAAGAAAGGGACAAGAAAAACAATAGGGGAAAAATGGAAACAAAGCTTTTGTTAATAAGTTGGGGAATCGGAAAAAAAGAAGCATGATATATCATGGAATGTTATACATGTAAAAATGTCCCAATAAAATTTTTTAAAAAAAGAATTGTAGGGTCAAGGAGTTTTTACCCAGATTTCAGAAGAAGGCCTTGGAGGCCAAGTAGTATGCCCCTGAGACAGCAGTGCATAACGCTGTGAGAGGGAAGCTGAAAGTAGGGTGGAGATCCTAGGGAGCTGCAGAAGCCAGAAAGTGGAACACCTGCTGAGGAAAGCTGCAGGGACTGAGCAAAACTAGGCCAAGAGAAAAGACACAAGTGCTAAAACCACTGGTAATGCTTTCAGGGCAGGACTGCCGAAGTCCTTTGGAGTTCACATCTCTCCACAACTTGCCCCAGGCACTGGAGGCAGAACTACCAAATTTAATGTTTACCTTGCTGGGTTTCAGTCTTGCCCTGGTTCCACTGATTTCTATCCATCTATTCCTCTTTGGAACGGGAATATTTATCCTGTGCCATTGTACATTGGTGATGTTTACTTTCTTCTTAATTTTTTCAGGGGCTCATAACTAAGACTTTGCCTTTTACCTAAAAAATGCCTCAAGTTTATACTTCCTATGGCAGAGCAGTACTCCATTGTGTATATAAATATCACATGTACTTTATTCATTCATCTCTTGATAGGTATTTGGGCTGTTTCCAGAATTTAGCTATTATAAATTGTGCTACTAGAAATATTGATATGCACTTATCACTGTAGTAGGATCATTTTAACTCTTTTGGCAAGATATCTACATGGGGAATAGCTAGGTGAAATGAAATATAGTTTTAGTTGTTTTAGGAATCTCCATACTGATTTCCATAGCAGTTATACCAATTTATCCTTCTATATACAATAAAGGAAGATTTCTCCCAACTCCTAAAGCTTCACCAGCATTTGTTATTGACTGATTTCTTGATTGTAGCCATTCTTTCTGGAGTGAAATAGATTATCAGTATTGTTTCAATTTGCATTTCTCAAATGACTAGCAATGCACCTTGAGACCATAATTTTAAGTGAAATAAATCAGACATACAAGTTTAAATACTGTATTGTTTCTCTTATGTGAAAACTACAGGTATAAATAGGGAGCAAAATAAAAGATAGATATTAGGAAGTAAGAATAACTTTTTCAAATGGGAAGGGAAACAAGAGATGGGGGAGATGGGAGGGAAGGAAGGGAAAGTGATTTAATGAGGAAAAAAGGAAAAAAGGGAATAGAGCTTTTGCAAATGGGGAAGGGTGGAAGAGGTGAAGGGAGGGGAGGGGAAGGAACAAAAAGTTAAGATGTGTTTTGTACATGTACAAATACTCCATTATGAATGTGATCATTATGTATTACAAATATGTACTCATTTTTTAAAACGAAAAAATCTCACGGAGATACAATGAAAGGCCTCTTTATAGTTATTTTGGCTTGTTTGGAGAACCAAGAAGTTAGAACTGGCTCTCAATTGCCTGGATACTTGTTTGTTGAAATAAGAAATCAACTTCACTGTCACCATTCTTGCCTAGAGACAGAAACAGGGAGAATAGATTTGTCTGTTTGTATTTATCCCCATGGTGGGCAGAAGAGTATATTTTCCTGCTTTCATAAAAGGTTACACAAGCTTGCTCAGAAAAAGAAAAAAAAAAGAGTTCACCTTAAGTCTCAGAGGAGACTTTGGACTTGTATTTTTCAGTAATGCAGAAGCTGTTAGGAGTTTGCCAACTCTTAGAGATGGAATAAGTGCATTGTGCATAAGCATAGAGGGATGTGCATGGGTCTTTCAGGGGCCAAGGGTGGAATATTATAGCTCATATCTAGATGTCTCGGTAAAGCCTCATGCACTCAGAGGTGGGTCTTTCAGAAAGCCATTGATTATTTATGCTTGACTTGCTGCAAGGAGGTGGGGCCTGGTTGGAAGAGGAAAATCACTGATAGAATGACTGGGAAGGTTATATCTCCCTTCCCAACTCCTCCCTTGACTTTCACTGCTTCCTGGATTCCACACCAACAGCAGCTGTTCCTCCGCCATGGCCCTGTGCATGCTGTCCTGCCTAGGGCCCAGTGGACCATGGACTGAAACTTACAAGCTGTGAGTCAAAATAATCCTCTCCTCTTTTTATTAGAAAGTGCTGCATATTTTATCCCAGCAATAAGGAAAGTAACTAAGACAGAGACAAATGAATATTCAAGTTTCCTCATTACAAAAATGATGTAAATATTGAACTTACTGCATATACAGTGAATGAGTCCTATCCATAGTGAAGATGTTCAGTGCTGTAGTTAACAAAGACCGCTGGAATGAATCATTTTCTTCTGCTCCTGGAAGCCCTCTGTGCTGACTGACACCGTGCCATCAGTGAGGAGAAAGGCCTAATGAGATGTTTCTCTGAAGGAGAAGTCCCAGGAGAAATGCGTGCAGAGGGAAGGGGGGTGGCTTAGGGACGGGCCCATCTTGTCAGTGTTCACAGGTAGACTGACCCAAATTTGTGCACAGATTTTACTCCTGCAGATCTTATACTGCAAAACCACTTCCCACCTGTGTGCCCTGAGTCAGAGGGGCACTGTGATAGACAGTGCCCTAGACATCCATTATGTAGGGGGAACGACAGATAAAATCCTCCCATGGAGTTATGCTTCCTGTTGTGTGAGACAAGAAGAAAACAATCAACAAGGTAACTATGAAGAAAATAAGGTGTGTGACAAAACAGTGACTGGCAGACAGGGTATCTCAGATGCGGCAATCTTGTTAAAATCTAGAGCAGAGCACTGCGGGAAAGGAGAACAGCAAATGCCAAGGCCCCAAGCCACCTCTTCATTGTGCTTGAGACATATCAGGGTAACGACGGAGTATGAGTTCCCTTTGCTGCAATAACAAATGATTGGAAACTTAGTGACTTAAAATAACAGATGATAATTATGTGGGAGTCCAAAATGGGTTTTACTGGGCTGAGCTGAAGGTATCAGCACGGCCACCCTCCCTCCAGACCGTAGGGAGAACCCATTTCCTGTCCTTTTCTGACTTCTAGAGCTGCCTCCATTCTCTAGCTTTGACCCCATCCTCCATCTGCAGAGCCAGCAGTGTAGCTTCTCCAAACCTCTGCGGCGTCCTCTTCTTCTCCTTGTAAGGACATCTGTGATTACATGGGGCCCACCCAGATAATCCAAGACAGTCTCCTCACCTGACTATCCTTACTCAGATCACTTCTGCTTTACAAAGTAACAACTTCACAGATTTCAGGGAGAACAAGGACATTTTGGCAGGACATTGGTCTGACCATCACAAAGTGCTAAGGGGAAACGCAGTGGGCACCTGAGCTTTAGTGAGCTCTGTGGGATAGGAAGCTGTCAGATCTGATGAAAAAATTTTAAGAGGATTATTCTGAGTGATGTATGAAGAATACAATAGTGCTTCGGTAGTGGGAAGCAAGGAGGTCATTTAGGAGGCTGTTGTTTGGTTCAGGAGAGAGGATGGGGCATGCAGACTTCGGGAGAACTGCTTAGCTTCTCTGAGACTCTGAAGTCTTACTATAAAATAAATACTGCAAGGCTGTGTTGAGTTAGCAATAACGTATGAAGAAGATTCAGTGTAGCACTTGATTGCTAATATTGCTCCATAAATGTAAGCTTTTATTTTCCTTACCTTTTCTTAAAGTTTAACTTTTAATAAAAATGTAGAATGCTTAAGAAGTAGCAGAAACCTAAAGGATTAAAAAAGCAAATGAAGCCTAGTGAAGAGAAGCGACTGACCCAAAGACATCCTGCGGTTATTGGATAGTATGAGGTAGCGATCAGGGAGCCCATCCGAGAGAAATCTGGAGAAAAAGCCACTTCTTGTCCTAAGTAACCAGAAAAGGCAGCTCAGAGCTCAGTGGGAAGGGCATGGGGAGGTCGATACCATGAAGCATGTTGGCAAAGGCCTTCTGCTTGCCAGTGGCATCAGAAGACCTAGTTTAAATCCTGTTATGCTGCATGTTGGCTGTGTGATTTGGAGCAAGTCTCTTAATCTTCCCGCACCTCATTTCTCTTTAAAAATGGCCATAATATCACATGCCACAAGGTTGTGATGAAGTTAAAATGAGAAAAATGTAAGATACAGCAGGCTTTAAACTGCAGAGTTTATAAAATAGTATTTATGTCCTTTCTCCCAAGCTGCCTACTTTCAATTCCCCTCAAACCCTTAAGGCATGAGGACATGCTTATTTTCAGTGGTATAGCAAAGCTCACCTTCTCATGAGGGTTCTGGCTGAGTGACAGTCTTCGGATTTTCCTGTCTAGATAATAGATCCAGCAATGCTTATCAGTTTCTACTTCCGAGTACATCAGAATTTCCCTTCGAAAGCTGACATTCAAATACAAAATGTGCCTTTTCCAGTAATAAAGCGCGGGTTTTCATTTCTCCAAGCTTTCTTCTAGTTCAAAATTCATTTGTTATAAACTAGCATTCACATGCAATAAAAATAACTGTACTCTTCAGCAAGATAGATTTAAAGCTATATGTGACTGGGAGATACTTATAGCAAAGTCAGCCTAACGATGTATTTAGCTAACTAGCATTTATATATATGTGCCTTACATAATAGGGTTTGAAAAAGTTTTAAAGAGCATTAGAGATGACAGTTTTGAGGCCAAGTAATTATAAGTCAATGTTACTATCATGAAAATGCCAAAGCTGTCCCAGAGATGTAGGGAGAGAGGAGAGAGAGGGGATGGAGAAAAGGGGAAGAGGATGTGAAAAGAATTAAAATGTGTTATGTATATGTACCAACTCTCCACAGGAATGTTTTAACTATGTGCTGCAAACGTACCAGTAAAAATCGAAAAAACCTAATCATAAAAAGTCAAATGAGAAAAAGGCCCAGACTAAAATAATAGTTCCTTTCAGTGTTCAGATGCACAAGCTATAACAATACCGGCTTGGAGATGGCTTATCTGACATTGAACCACAACTACCTGCTCTGAGTACACGACACCTCCCTCCCCTCCTCTTTGTTTTCAAGGGTTCTCAGCTGTGAGTATATCAAATGCCGTCTAGTACCAGGCCCACCTTCTCCCAGGGGCCGATCCACTGGTCTGTCTTCTTTATGGAGGCCTGAATGGAAATAAATCAGCCATTCAATGCACCTAATCAGATGGAAGGCTATTCTCTGAGGGATAACCTCATTCCCACGGCGAATGGGGAACAGATCAGCATAGTGTGAATCCCAGGGCACCAGACATTGTCTGGTAAACAAAAGAATTAGAAACACAGGAGTAGGACACAGAAGCCAAGACCAATTAATACCTCCTGTGTATTAATGCTTATCTTGGTTTAAATAAAGATTCTTGAGACAAGTGGTGAGTCATCTGTAAGTGAGTGTCTGGGCAGAGTACAGTGTGGGGTGGAAGGAGGGTGTGCTTGCTCAGTAGGACCCATGAGATTTAGATTTCACAGAGGAAAGCTTTAGAGTCATTAAAAGTACAGATGACTTCTTCACCCCACCCAACCTTTATAATATACTGGTTTAGTTTTTAGGAAGGGCTTGGGATGTATATCTGAAAGGGTGGAAAAAGATTGTCAAAATGAGGCTAGATGTTAGCAGTAACTATAGAAATCAATAGTGGCCTGGAGAATATGGTAGACAGTGTGCTAAAGATTAGCAATTCCCAGAATGTAGAAAAATCTACATGACAGATGAGCTAGAATTTCCAAATAAAACACAAGGATGAAGTTAAAAAGAAGGGGAAACAACAATAAAAGAGATACAAATAACATATCTATCAAATACAATGTGGGGGCCTTGTTTGGATCTAGACTTGAATAAACAACTGTTAAAAAATCCATGTGATAATTCAAAAATGGAATAAAGACCTAAAAATGTAAGAACAAAAACTAATAAATGCCTATAAAAAATAACAGAAAAAATCCTTGACAGTGGTCTCAGCAGTGGTTTCTTGAGAAATGACAATAAGGCACAAGCAACAACCAAAAAATGCTTGGGTGGGAATATATCAACAAAATGAGAGGGCAACATATAGAATGGGAAAAAACATTTACAAATTCTATTATCTAGTGAGGAGCTGATGTTCAAAATTTTATAAGGTACTTCTATAAACCCAATAGCCATCATCAAATAATCCAATTTATTTATTTATTTATTTTTAATTTATTTTATTTTTTTTTTTGAGACAGGGTCTCACTATGTAGTTGAGTCTGACCTGAACTCACTATGTAGCCCAGGCTGGTCTCAAACTCACAGCGATCCTCCTGCCTCAGCCTCCTGAGTGCTGGGATTACAGGCATGCACCACCACACCCGGCAAATAATCCAATTTGAAAATGGGCAAAAAACATTTTTCTAAATAAGATGTATTAAAAGGCAACAGGTATATGTAAAGGTGATCAGTATTAGAGAAGTGCAAATCATAATCACAATAAGATGTTAAGTGTTAAGATAATAAGTGTTAGAAAAGATGTGGACAGAAGGAAACCCTTCTACTGAGCACAGAGGGATATAACACTTATGGAAAACAGCATGGAAATACTCAAAAAATTAAATGCAGAACTATGGTATAAGCCAGCAATCTCACCCTTGTATATGTATCCAAAAAATATGAAATCAGTATTAAAAAATCTCTGTATCTGCACGTTAATGCAGTATTATTTACAACAGCCAAGACATGGGAACAATCTCAGGATCCGTCTATGGATGAATGGATAAGGAAATGTGATATTCATATGCAGTAGAATATTACTCAGCCATAAAGAAGGATATCGTGCCATTTGTGACAATATGGGTGAACCTAAAGGACATTATGCTAGATGATATAAGTCAGACATAGAAGGACAAATATTGTATGGTTATCCTTAAACATGAAATGTAAAAAAGTCAAACAGAAGCAGAGGAGAGTAGTAGTAGCCAGGAGCTGTGGGAGGAGGAAGAAAAGAGAGATGTTGGTCTAAGGATGCAAAATTTTAGGTATAAGATGAATAAGCTCTAGCAATACAACATATAACACTGTGACTATAATTATGGTGACTATAGTCACTGATCCTGTTTGTATACTTCAAATTTTTAAAAAGATAGCTATATAAAGTGATACGCTAATTATC